CACTACAACATAAGCATGTTGAACAAAAGAAAAGAGAAAGGAATGAATTGTCAAGCTTGCATCGATATAAGCATAGCAAGTAACATAAGGCAGAGCATAAGTTAATCAAAGACAAAGGAATTAACAGAGAAAAACTTCCTTTTTGTCTTCTTTGTGGAGCTTGTGCTTATGTTGCAGTGTGAACAGGCCCTAAATACTCAATGTAGCAAATTAATTAACTCAAATTTGTTCTTTGTATTTATAAAAACTGTATCTCATTGACATTGTTAATTGCACTGTTCTACCTTATTTTCATTGACTATTTTGTACAAAATATTGCAATGACTAACTTAAGACAACGTGTAACCTTAAATATATATAAGCTTAGTTTTAAGGTTTTTATTGCGAATATGACATGCATTTGAGGTCCTAGACATATCCAAGATTAAGCGCTATTTTACTTGCTATTACTCAATTAAGTACTGTTATAAAGGACGATATCTATATTACTAGACAAAGATGTTATAAGGCTGTAATACGCTGTTAAACTCACCTAACATCAGRCGAAACAGGCAGTGCAACACTCTGCTCATTAACATTGGTTACCACTGGCTTTATACTATCRAAATCAGAGTGAAAAAATGGTTAAATTGTTAAAAATATAGARAAATTAAGRCTAAAAAACCTGCCCTATTTCTTTACCTGCCAGGTAATTTGCTAGTATTTCTTTTCCAAAACGATTTCTTTGTGCTTCCTTCGAACTGAACCGATATAGGGTCCTGACATCGTTCAGCGCAGTTAAACTGAGTTCCCAGTGCAATGACTCGGTTTTTGGCGGCATCGCTCATGTTAATCAGTCACATAGACAAGCTCATTGATATTGCTAAATSCCAGGTTATATTGTTCRAATGTACGATACTCTAAATCATTGTGATCAAAGCTCACAAATTTGATTCCAAGTCATGTTTTTTTGTTGCTATTTTGTGATCGTGGAACAAGTCAAATGTTTTGATGCGCATGTGCGTTACTTTCAGCCTCACTCTGRTGTACATTCATGCGGTTAACCGCTGACAAGAAAATCCACAAGTAACCCACCCCACCCCCGTGCACCTATCTATTTATACTTTGGCTAATGACATTACAAAGACAGGTAATCACTGAGTATGTTTCTTAAGCTATACGTCCCTTTTCTGAATAGGAAGCTTCATATCATACAATACAACGCTAAACATTTTATGCTAATCAATAGTTGAAAAAAAAAAATCATATCTTGGTCAATTTCAATCCCACATCAACGAGTCTTTGAATTTAGACTTCCAAGTGAGCGTAAAAGCACAAGTAATTCAATAATTTTTAAAAATAACACAACACTTAACAGGCTTTAGCTATAGAAGATTAAAGTGTTGTTGGTAAACCTTAAAACTGGAAAAGTAATATCAATATCATATTAATTGTCAGTTAAAGTTGTTTTTGTCATTTTCTACAATAGGCCTTTTGCAGATACGTTTCTTTATAAAAATCAATATTTTACATTTGCTGTCATTTTTTAAGTATTTGGAGTTTAGACTTGAGACTCAGTGCCATTTTACCAACATAAACCTGCTCTGTCCATTTCTGAACATCATTTTTTGATAACTGATTGATTAAAGTAGGTGTGGTCACGTGACCCCCAGCTGCAAAAGGCCTATTATGGTTGTTATTTACGTTATTTACGAATTTAAGATAAAGAAAATAATGAAAATTTTGAATAAAACTTAAGGCCCCCCTCTGTTGATTTGGTAATTTTACTTTGAGCTCCCCTATCTTGGC